CGGCCTCCCAAAGTGCTGGGATTACAGGCGTGAGCCTCCGCGCCCAGCCGAACCCTTAAATCTTTTTGACGTGTATTTGTGTGACAGGGTCTCACTCTATCGCCCAGGCTGGAGTGTAGTGATGTAATTATAGCTCACTACAACCTCAAACTCCTGGGCTCAAGCTCCTGCCTGAGCCTCCCAAGTAGCTGAGACCACAGGCATCAGCGGCACCACCACGCCCAGCTACATTTTGTATTTTTAGTAGAGACAGGGTTTCACCGTGTTGCCCAGGCTGGCCTTCAACTCCTGACCTCAGGTAATCTTCCCCCCTTGGCCTCCCAAAGTGCTGGGATTACAGGCGTGAGCCACCTCGCCTGGCCTTATTTTTAAATTTTCTGTAAAGATAGAGTATTCTTGCTCTATTGCCTAGGCTGGTCTCGAACTCTTGGCCTCAAGTGATCCTCCCACCTCAGCCTCCCAAAGTGCTGGGATTATAGGCACGAGCCGCCGCACCTAAATTCCCTCAGATCTCTTTAGCACTCCCAAATCACCACAAACACCAGCTTTGCTTTTGGTTCACAAGCCTTTATTAAGTTGTCTTGGGGGAAAAGTAGGGGGGAGATCCATCATCACAGAAATGAGAACGGGGTCTCAGGACGGGGCTGCCAGACTCCCAGTCCTCCCCCGTCTTCTTTTTATTTTTTTAATTTGTTTTTTTGAGATGAAGTCTCACTCGGTAGCCCAGGCTGAAGTTCATTGGTGCAATCTCAGCTCACTGCAACCTCCAGGTTCATGCCAGGCTAGTCTTGAACCCCTGACCTCAAGTGATCCACCAGCCTTGGCTTCCCAAAGTGTTGGGATTACAGGCGTGAGCCACCACGCCCAGCCTCAATGCCCTCTTTTTTGTGTGTACCTATGGGTGGGGTCTCGTTGGGGTCCCCTGGGATCTCTTACTTCTCTCCCGGTTTGGGGAACTCTCTTGGCCTTGGCTGCCCAGTAGGGCCTGGGCTAGGAGAGACTCTGACCTTAGAGATGGGGTGGCCAGGCCTGGGGCTGGGGCAAGGTCTGGGCGCCAAGCGGGGCTGGCAGGTGACTGGCTGCGGGAATGAGGTTGAATAAATGCTCTGGCCTCTCTGGTCCTTCCCGTCTCCAGATGAGTCCTCAGTCTTCTTTGGGGTCTCCCGGGGCCGGTATAGGACGTTGCTGTAGAATGCATTTCCTGGGATGGATGACAGAGACCAAGAGGGGACAGTCGCTTAAGAGAGCCTGGCCCTCTCTGGCTCACCTCTGGGGGCTTTGTCTCTCTCTCTCTCTTCTTTAAAAAAATTTTTAAACTTTTTTTTTTTTTCTGAGATGGAGTCTCCCTCTGTAGCCCAGGCTGGAGTGCAATGGCGTGATCTCAGCTCACTGCAACCTCCACTTCGTGGGTTCAAGTGATTCTCCTACCTCAGCCTCCTGAGTAGCTGGGATGACAGGCTCACGCCACCACGCCCCTCTTATTTTTATTTTTTATTTTTTGTATCTTTAGTAGAGACGGGGTTTCACCATGTTACCCAGGCTGATCTCAAACTCGTGACCTCAAATAATCCTCCTGCCTCAGACTCCCAAAGAGCCAGGATTACAGGCGTGAACTACTGTGCACAGCCTAATTTTTAATTTTTTGTAGAGATGGGATCTTGCTAGGTTGCCCAAACTAAGAGCTTTGTCTCTTGGCCGGGCGCGGTGGCTCACGCCTGTAATCCAAGCACTTTGGAGGCCAAGGCGGATGGATCACCTGAGGTCGGGAGTTCAAGACCAGCCTGACCAACATGGTGAAACCCCGTCTTTAAAAAAAAAAAAAAAAAAAGAATTTTGTCTCTATTTCTGAAAAATATGGGTATTGGATATGGGAGCCAGGCTTCCCCGCCTTCATCCCTCCTCCCTCCTTCCCCCAAACCAAAGCGGGAGCAGGGATGCGGTGGGTCTTTGTCAAGCAGGGTCTGTTCCCGCCTACTCCGCCCACCCCATCTTACCTGGGCTGTTACCTGAGTCCCTTTGCTGGCAGTGGCGGCGGCCCCAGAACCAGGCGCCTAGCACCATTGTAGCCACACCCACGCTCCCCACCCCCAGCGGCACGAAGAGGAGTCCTGGGTGGGGGGAGAAGGGATGGTCTAAGCGGGAGGGTGGGGGCGGTGATAGGGGAGGAAGAGCTGGGGGAGGAACACTGGGCAGGGCTCACCTCGGAAGCTTGGGGTCAGGTTTCTGTTCTGTGGGGTGTCATCTGCAGAGAGGAAATCTATGTCATGGGAGGGCACCAGGCTCCTGCACCCTCCAAGGACAGAGCTCTCAAAGGGGGACTTAAGTGTTCCTCCTTGTGCCAGGCTTTGTGGCTTTTGGGCAGGTGTTCACTCTGAACCTCAGTTTCCTTTTCTGAAAAATGAGGCTCCGCAGAGCACAGTGACTCACGCCTATAATCCGAGCACTTTGGGAGGCCAAGGCAGGAGGATCACTTGAGGTCAGGAGTTCGAGACCAGCCTGGGCAACATGGTGAAACCTTGTCTCTATTAAAAAGATAAAAATTAGCTGGGCGTGGTGCTGCGCACCTGTAGTCCCAGCTACTCAGGAGGCTGAGGCAAGAGAATCGCTGAAATCCAGGAGGCATAGGCTGCAGTGACCTGAGATTGTGCCACTGCACTCCAGCCTGGGTGACAGAGCAAGACACCGTCTCAGAAAAGAGAAAGAAAAATGAGGCTCGTGGTCCCTGTCTGGGTGAGTCATTGTGGAAAAACTGCCAGCTGGGACTTGTCATCGTGAGCTCTGCCATCTTTGTCCTGGGCTCCTGTTTCTGTTTTTGAGAGTGGACTCCAAGGCATGCCCATTCTACATATGGGGAAACCGAGGCTCAGACAGCCTAAGTCTCTTGCCGAGGGTCCCCTACCCAGGAGGCAGCCAAGACCTGTTTGAACAAAGCCCTTTCTTTTTTTTTTGAGCCGGGGTTTTGTTCTTGTTGCCCAGGCTGGAGTGCAGTAGCTCAATCTGGGCTCATCGCAGCCTCCGCTTCCCTGGTTAAAGCGATTCTCCTGCCTCAGCCTCCCAAGTAGCTGGGACTGCAGGCGTGCACCACCACGCCCGGCTATGAACAAAGCCCTTTCTCACCTCAGCTCAGAGAAGGTCACACGTAGATTACTTGAGCACTTACTATGTCCCAGGCCCTGTGTTTTGTTGTTGTGTGTTTTTCTGGAGACAGGGTCTCTCTGTGTCTCCCAGGCTGGAGTGCAGTGGCACGATCATAAGTCACTACAGTCAGCAAATCCTGGCCTCAGGCGATCCTCCACCTCAGCCTCTCGAGCAGCAGGGACTATAGGTGTGTGCCACCATGCCTGGCTAATTTGAGAATTTTTTTGTAGAGATGGGGTCTTGCTGTGTTGACCAAGCTGGTCTCAAACTCCTGGCCTTAAGCAATCCTCCTGCCTCAGCCTCCCAAAGTGCTGGGATATCAGGCGTGAGCCACTGCACTGGGATTATAGCAAGTACTTTAGCTATCGCCCCTCTAAAGTCACCCAACCTGATGAGGAAACACTATTCACTGTATTCTGACACCAGAGGGAACTGGCACAGAGAGGTCAAGTCACTTACTCAAGGTCACACAGCAAGTAAATGAAACACAGTCTTGAATCCAGGTTTGTATAATCTACAGGAACCCCAGCCAAAGGCTGTGAATGCCCCAATTAAGATAAGGTCCAGCACTCCAACCCCCTCCTCTTGCAGCCTGTGAGGTTGGCAGGCAATCCCTGGGGACTGCCAAGCTGCTGTTGAGGGTTGGAGTGGGTGGGGAAGCCAGCTGTGTGGGGCTGGCCCAGTGCCCACTCCCGGCTCTCTCTCGCAGCTGCCAACACACAGCCTGGCCCCTCCACCACCCCGCCTCCTCTAATTGCTAATTGGCCCCTTTGACATTGGAGGGGTGGGGGGAGATGGGTAACGCAGCCATAACACGCCCCTCCCTTGAGGCAGAGCACGTGTCCTGCCAGCAGGCTGGTCCTACCAGCTGGAGAGGAACCGGCATCTCTAGGGCATGGGAGCTGGAAGCTCCCTTCTGCCAGAGGGGGCTGGGCAGATGCCCCGGGCCCACAGGCACCCTGCACAGAGCAGGAGGCAAAGCCTGGATCCCCTTGGGTTTCCCGATTCTGCCCAGGGTGAGTCTATAAGGGGGTGACATGGCAAAGCGGGGTGCATAGGCTGCACCCCTGTCTAGTGGGTAGCGCTGGGCATGTCTTGACCCTCTCTGGCCACACCTGTCTCATCTGTAAAATGAGGCAGCTGCCTTTGCTGATAGGGAAAGCTATCTGGAGAGTTTCTTCCAACTTTGAGAGTCCGTGACTTCTTTTTGAAATGGAGTCTTGCTCTGTGGCCCAGGCTGGAGTGCAGTGCTGTGATCTCGGCTCACTGCAGCCTCTGCCTCCTGGTTCAAGCGATTCTCCTGCCTCAGCTTCCCGAGTAACTGGGATTATAGGCGTGCACCACCACGCCTGGCTAATTCTTGTGTTTTTAATAGAGATGGGGGTTTCATCATGTTGGTGAGGCTGGTCTCGAACCCCTGACCTCAAGTGTTCCACCCACCTTGGCCTCCCAAAGTGCTGAGATTACAAGCGTCAGCTACTGTGTCTGGCTGATGACCTTCAATTCTGGATTCTAGAATTCTAGGATTCTGTTTGTTTGTTTG